AGATCTATCATATTTTAAGCAGAGATCTCGCAATCACTTGTTTGGTCATTTCCATAGCAGGTTTCATCCCAATACCGAAGTTAAGTCGAACAGGATCTTCAAATGGATGACCAGATGGATAGGTTTTAGAAACATGCGATAATATGAGGTAAAAAATGTTTCATCACTTTCTCTCATTTTTTTGCATTTTTTCATCTTTTTTTTCACTTATTTTCTGTAAGGATATTTTATGTCACATATATTATAGATTTTCAATACTTTCAACAGTCAATATCGAAACGCAACCGTAATTTTGTCGTCATAAGTATGCATAATTTCTTCTGTTCATATATAATCATAAACAATTTTATCTTTTTATATAATTAGATCAGGTCAAAATCCATGCATAATTAGATCTACAAAATTATATATAATTATATATAATTAGATATAAACTTTTTTTCCGGATATATAGAAAATATATACCGAAAAACATAATATACTCGCGCGTACAAGCAATCGCGTCACAAAAGTGCAATTACGTGGATATACTTTCAATCAAATACTCTATCCGTGAAATTTTTATAAAAGTATATTTTACATCATTTTGTGCGCGCGCGCGCGTGTGTGTGTGGAGGGGGGCGCGCACACATACCACACACACGCACACACACATACACACATTTGATTTGGTTGTAAAATGCTATATCATTTAAGTTGCTAATTTTATCGACACAATAATATATGCATGTAAATAAATAAAAAAATTGATACATGTCGTACTTGCGATAGTTGCGCTAGGATCGAGCGAAATATTTTCGAAAAAATTCAAAACAAGTTGCCAATCAATGCAAGAGAAGTAAACCAATAACACAACATCACGAAATCGAAAGTGGAACACGTGGCTTATTTAAAGTATTTAAAAATCGAATCATTGTCATCGTGTTTCGGTAGTTCGGTTTCCATTCGGCGTTATTTTTTTTATTTCACATTTTACAAGCTTTGTAGCTTTTTGTTTCAGAATGATACTTGTATCCGCGAATATCGTTTTTTAAACTTTCAAGTGTCCTGCCTTTTGAAATCGAGTACTTTTTTTCAACAGATAGAATGCAATATTAATTCAGCATCAAAGTTCATGACGTCAGAGCTATGGATAAATAAAACTTGCGAACGTTCTCTTAGCAGTCGCGTTTCAAGCTTTTAATCGACAAATAAATATTAATATATTTTTATCCTATTTGTCTTATCCTAAATTTTGAAAAATTAAAAAATTGTAACAAACCTCTATTTATGAATTAAAAAGTCCTCGACCGACTATCCGTCGAGAAACTCGGCACGGCGAGAACTCCCACCGCCGGGAAATTCGTGTTGGTAACCGAACGCGTCGAAAACAAACGAGATCATACACGGCACGCGCCATACGCGTGCCGCCAAATGTTTACGCGAACGCCCGCGTCACCGAATCAAGAGATTCCGTTCGTTTCTTAGGAATCAAATAGCATTCGCGGAAGTTAATGTATCTTCCGACGAATCCGTACTCGAATTCGGCCGAACCGTAATCGACCGAAACCGAATATCGGCTGATCCAAATATAAATTCGCCTCCACGAAGAGAGGGCCTTTTTTCCCGGCGATCAACTGTTCGAACGAAATCCATAATTGACATTGCATTTTACTAATTACCAGAATTTCAGAACTAGCGAAAAGAGCACGGAAGCTACCGTGCTTGGACAACCATTTTCGCCATTCCATCACCAAAGCGCCAGAGAAGAAATCACGGAGCAGGAAGTTCTGTGATCTGTCTCGGCCTATTTAACGCAAGGCTCGCTACGCGTTCAAAGGAGATCCCGGGTTGCGATACCAAGGATAGGTGAACTCGTCTGCTCGGCCGGAGGGACACCAGCAGCAACTGTCCTATCTTTCAAAGAAGAACCGTTTCCCAGTCGGAAGATACAAACCACCTCCTAACATATTCATGCCGGAACGAACGTATTCGAAAATCGTCAATAAATAATAAGAAGGCCGAAATTTAACACAGAAGGTTATCTGTAAGGTACAGGATATCTGTGAATATCTTGTATATACCGCCGAACTAGATCTTAAGAAAACTAACGCTGAAACCGAATCATCGAGTACATCGGAAGTACACGCATACTCACCCGTCCGCCCATTACATCGCGTGCACAACACCGTAATTATGTAATGCAAGCCATAGCTTCGGGATTACGGTCATTACGAGCAACACAAGAACAATCCGCGCGATCCAAGCAGAAAGAAAATTTCACATTGAGGGACAATGCTTCGCTTTTCATACAAGCCGTGATCTCAGGACTCGTAGAATTTTTCCGCGTGAGAGATACGACAAAAGTGGAAAATACGTGCGCTTTTGTGCAATTCTCGGTCTGTCACCTAACAATACTTGGCAATTAAGAATAATCCTGTTGAAAGCGTAAGGCGCATTCGCATGTTGCTGCAGCAACGGATTTTTATAGTATTGTCTTCCTGACACAGCGTGTTTATTTTCCAATATTCCTTGTTACGCTAAATGAATATACGAATTAATCGAGGATATGGCAATCGCGTGGGCAAATTTGATTGAAGACATGACTCACAACGATGATCGAACTTTGCAAGTCTGACAAATAAAGTCAAGATAGCGGAAAGGAATTGGAAGTCCCATTTTAACTTTCTAAAAAGAGATTTCCGCGCTCGTTATCAATCTGAAGTTTTAAAAATTTTTCTGTAAATATTCACTTCTTGTTATAACCCTCAAAGCTACTTGATCACTGAACGCTAAATGGCCGATCAAATGAGCGTTTTAAAAGTTTGGAGTTTTTCTGAAATAGCGATGCTTTAAAGAGTATTTCATTGATACGGCGAGAAATTTTCCATTAGCAGATTTCACCTACTTATAATTTATATACTTTCGAAAAATCATGAAGAAGTTAAAAAAGTATCTGTAAAGCTGTTCTTGTAAAATGATTCGCTGCATAATTGGTATGCACAAAATGTACATTATAATGACACTTTTTCTTTATCGAAAAAAGAAAAACTTCTCGATCAGAACGGTGAGAAGCAATTTCGACGAAATCAGTTTCAATAATAATAGTGTGTGTTCTGTTTGAACCTTGTTCTGTTTGATTCGTGCAGAACTTCTCGTAGCTGAATAATAGACCATTCACCACGCCGTGGTAATTGAAACAAGAGCGAGAGGTCTCTAATTAGACGCGGGTCAGAATAAATTGAAGTTGCTTTTGATTACGAGGCAAAACATTTCTGATATGCAACACAATTTATTTTTTCTGTTCGATTTTATTATAACATGCCACGATAAACCATGTTTATCGTGCCATGACGACGACTTTTGCTTATTTATTTCCTCCTACAAATCCGCGCTTCCACGTGGCTATCATGACGATAAATCGGTACATTTTGAGCACCGGATCACCGGAAGAAATAAGGACTGATGTCTTGGTAATTTCTTTGGTAAAAATAGAAGTATCTTCCCTTTTTTCTCTTTTTTTTTCTTTAATGAATCATCTGGGATATATGTACTAGAGGTCGATGAAAAGAGAAAGAGGCGTTGCCTCTTTTTTTGCGAATGAATCTAGAGAATTGACTGTAGCGCGGTCGGTCGGCATATTTTCGTTCGATCTTAAATAACGATCGAACGCAACATAACGATGGTACTTGACTTGAAACGTTCCATAACGATAGACATTGTATGATGTATTCCAGGAATGTCTCCATAGTGTATAAATTAATAGTGAAAAATGTTATTATGCAATTTCGAAGAATCGCGCTGTGAAAAATATTTCTTTTGTAGAGAAAATGTTGCATTGTAAGAATTGTATATCGCATGTATGATGGAAATAAATATTATGTTTACCGTGTAATAGACAAATAACGTTAACGAATATCGCTTCGCCAGCCGTATTTCAAAAGATATCGCGAACTTGAAATTACATTTTTATGAAAATATCATAGGGAAATAGCGGAGAAGTAATGATTACCTCATTATCATTGATCACGAAAATAGAATTTTTCGCATTAAGAACGAATTTTAATTTTATCACGAGAGAGATGAAAGATCAATGTTGGAGAGAGAAAAATTGATCTGTATCAAATAATCAACCGCCATAGGATATCGCCGTTGAAACAAGTTGTTGCAAGCGCGGACAACGGATATTTTTCGCTGCAATATAGAACAGCATGACTTTCGTAAGCATGACGTAATCCGGTTGTTTATCTAAATTCGTCTTGCAGATATGCAGATATTGCAGTTCGGATGTATGTATTACAAATAGCATCGCATTTCTTTTTATCATTTGCGTGAAAATTTATTGGTTCCGCGATGACACGTACACGAGGAATATTCAAAGGTACGATAATACTTCACTCACACCAGGTAAGTTCCTCGCGTTGCCGGTAAAAACTCCTCCTGGTCAAAAGAAGTCATGGTGTCATCACCCACTTCGAAACTTACGCTGAAGTATTCGTTACTGGATACCTGTAATCAGAATAAACCGCGCAAAGCACGGTATAATCACTATTAATTTTATTTTTCCTCTAGTTGATCTTGATAATCTTATAATCTTATAATTAAAATTCAATTTCAATTTAAGATAATCTTGCCTTAACTTGACAAAAGTTGCAATTATTCTCAAAATGGATGAAATTTAACAAATCGGGGCACAATTTTGAATAAGAAAATAATAAAAATAAATATTAAGCTATAAAGTTATTTTCTCACTCCACAAAAAGCTCTTATAAAATGATTTTTATCCAAATTATTTTTTTTCATATCACATTTAAAAAATCATTTTAATTTACAAAAGATAAAATCTTGTAACACAAAGTTGATTTTGTAATGTATATTAAGTTTTTAATCTAATAGTTCAAATTAATCTAATAGTTCAAATTAATGATGACATATCGCGTATGAATATAAGGCATCGCAAAATCTACAAAAAAATATTTTCGTGTAAATATCATAGCTTAAATGTAGGTTCTATTAACATGAATAATAAATTATTAACATTAATAGAGTCGAACACGAAATTTAACGATTAATTTTACTGATTAATATCTTGTTTTGAATTATGCTCTGAAAAAAATTCGAGATAATTTTGCCGCACTTAATTTTTAGTTTTATCATAATCGCTTTAGAATTGCTAATCAGTTATGTGGGATGTATTGCAGTTTAAAGTAAAACTGAGCATTTAAATTTTGCGTGAAACATGTAGGTCTCATAGTTTAAATGTATAGTTTATAGATTATCATCATATATCTAAATTTGGGGAAAAAAATCAAATTCTTATTACAAAGTCAGTAAATAATCATAAATGTTATAACGAATCTCGATTGTTTTTGCATAATTCAGTGCATGATAAATAAAGTTTCAAACAAATTAAATGTTTATCTGACAATTTAGCAACGAAAGATACATATATACTGCAAATATACTACAATATATACTGTATGAATATAAATGCCGTATAAATACTATCTGTACTTGCGCTTATTCCGAAGAGACGGATTCCTTAACACGAATAATTTGAAGTCAGTACGCAATACTGTTCATATTTCGTTCTACAATTTTTATTACGCATCTCGAGAATTTGGAAAATTCGTCCGGTAGTGCGCGCGTTATCGCGCGAAAGGGAAACGCGATTACTTCGCAGTTTGGCCGTCTGAATTCAATATTGCCATCACGTTCGCCTATTCGACTAAATTTTTTTTATCCTCATAAATAATGCAGGGACGCAGCACTCTTATAAATTCGAGTCTGCAGAATTAAATATTGAAGCGCGATATCGGAGTAATTATCACGGCAAAGATTGTTGCTTATCATCGTCATGAATTAAATTATTTCATTGCTTAGCATAACATGTGCGAGAAGTATTACTTATCCAAAAGGCAAAGAAAAAAATAATAATCAATCGATCGAATGGAAAAATCAAGATGTTATTTAGTAGAGCTTGCAAAAATCACAAAAACTGATTCTCGACCTTTAAAAAAAGATTCTTTTATAATTGTTTCAAATAAATTCGAGATATATTATAATCATTTCGTGTGGAAGAAGTGATCCTTTTCGCTTTTTAAATGCATTAAATTTCAGTTACTTAGTTACTCGTAGGATCATACATAAATCGCACTGGAAAGAAAAAAATTGCAAAGGACAGTTATTGTCTATTCTTCTCTTCTTTCTCGCAAAAGAAATTCTTGAGAGTCGTTCATGCGACAGTTGTAACATACCAAGTAATCTTTGCAATATATCCTACATATCCTATATATACATAACGAGAT